CTGATAAGGTGTACTGACTTCTTTCGATAACATTTACAGGATTCCTTATGATTCTTGGAGTTAACATCAAGTGCTTGAAATAGTGACTGCAAAAATGTGAAGTTTCTCGATGCAAGTAATGTGCACATATTGATCCTTCAACTCTAGCTTTATTTTTAACTGATCGCTTTGAATCACCCATGAACCTTTCAAACGGATACATCCACCTATATTGAACATGTCCTCCTAGATAAGCCTCATATGCAAGATGCACAGGTAGATGTTCCATGGAGTAAAAAAAACCAGGAGGAAATACTTGTTCCAACTTACAGAGAATGACTGGAATATTTTGGTCCAACTTAATGATGTCATCCACTCTTAAAGCTGACGCACAAATATCTCTAAAAAATTGACTAATTTCAGTGAGTGGATTAAGCACATGTTTGGGAAGAGAATCGAACACAATTGGTAGCAATTATTCCATAAAAACATGGCAATCATGACTTTTCATACCATGCAACTTCCCAGTGTTAGCATCAGCACACCTTGCTAAATTTGAAGAATACCCGTCGGGCATTCTCAAACCTTTTAGCCATCCATAAACCGCTTTAGCTTCTTGGGGGGTCAGACTGAAACAAGCTTTGGGTTTAAATAATTTTCCATTTGGTTGAGGCTTCAATTCCAACTCTTTACGATTACACCAAATTTCCATGTCTTGTCTAGCCTTCACATTATCTTTTGTTCTGTCTTTAACATCCATCACTGTGTTAAATACGTTATCAAAAAAATTCTTCTCAATATGCATAACATCAAGATTATGGTGCAACAAATTATCTTACCAATACGGGAGGTCCTAAAATATACTTCTTTTTGTCCAATTATGTGTGACCCCATATCCTTCAATTCTACATGCTTTGCCAGTATCTGTAAACTTTGGAAGTTCACAAACTTGGTTCCATATAGCAACTGGTGCCAATCGAGGCGGAGGCATATCTGTTACCCGTTCGTCCTTTTTGAAATTTGTCTTGTTTTTTTTAAAGGGATGATTTGATGGTAGGAATCTGCGGTGACAGTCAAACCACGAGCTTTTCCCCCCTTTTTCCAATGTAAACGCCTTAGTGCATTCCATGCAATGCGGACAACCCATTCTGCCATGCGTACCCCAACCAGACAACACGCCATATGCTGGAAAGTCGTTAATGGTCTACATCAAGGCAGCTCGCGTAGAAAAGTTTTGTTTACGGGATATATCATAAGTCCATTCTCCATTATTCCACAACCTCTTCAAATCATCAATTAAAGGTTGTAAGTACACATCAATTCCGGTTTTTGGACTCGACGGTCCTGGAATGACGCACGTCAAAAACATGTATGGTTTTGTCGTGCACATCTCAGGAGGGAGATTGTAAGGGGTTACAATAACTGGCCAACAAGAATACGCACTTCCGGACACTTGGACATATGGAGCAAAACCATCAGAGCATAATCCAAGCCTGACATTTCTAGGTTCAGCGGCAAAATCAGGATGTACCTCATCAAAGTGCTTCCATGCATGGCCGTCAGATGGGTGTCGCATATTGCCTGGGCTTGTTTTGTTTGTATGATGCCATGTCATTTGACTTGCACTGTGCATTGAAGAAAACATTCTTTTTAACCTTGGTATTATCGGAAGATAAAACATGGACTTTACTGCTACCCGTTTTTGGTTACTGTTAATGGCTCTATTGCGAACTTTATATCTTGGACTATGACAAAACTTACATTCCTCTGACGATCCATCTTGAGTACCAAACTCGTTGTCATAAAACAACATACAACCATTAATGCAACAATCAATCTTTCTTACTCTTAAACCCAACTTCGACACCAACTTCTTTGCATCATAGAAACTCGCAGGCAAGTTGTCTTTCGTTGCAGTTGAGTCCAACATTATTTTTGCGAAGTGCTCCAAACACTGATCAGGAACATTCCAATTTGACTTGGAGGCCAATAATCTAACACACATTGATAGCTTTGAGTCTGACGATCCCTCAAACAACGGCGTATTCATCTCATTCAACAACTGATAAAATCTCTACGCTTCCTCATTCGGCAACTCTTCCCCGTCAAAGTCTTCAGGTTGATCATAGGTCACGTTAACACCAAAAGCATCACCAACCATGTCACCTATCAGATTAAAGTTTTCTTCAAATTCCATAGGTGGTTGCATAACCGGTTGACTACTTGAAGCATCTGTGTTGCTAGTCTCTGGTACATTACTCGGCAGTGTTTCACCATGATACGTCCAAACCCAATAATTTTCAATGAAACCTTTCTTATGCAAATGACGTGTTATTTCCTCTAGGTCACTAATTATATATCTACATCCACATATAAGACAAGGACACCTAACTCCTCCTTCACTTCGACAACGTTCCTGGGCAAACGTCCACGCGATAAAACCATTAACTCCGTCTATAAAATTGGGTTTAAGTGCGCGTCTTCCTGGATATAGTCTATCGTACATCCAACTACGATAATACATATAATATTCCATTTACTGCAAATTTATATAATCAAAACCTATTTAATTAGAAATATTAATTAATCAACTTAATAATAATCCTAAACATATACAATTAAAGATAAATATATGCTTTCAAAAATATTTATAAACTCCTAAAAATATTTATTTATTTTTAAACAATTAAAATTTAATTTAAACACCTAAATTTTATAAACTCCTAAAAATTTAAAAACTTATTAAACTCCTAAAAATTTAATTTAAACACTTAAAATTTATAAACTCCTAAAAATATTTAGTTATTTTTAAACACTTAAAATTTAATTTAAACACCTAAATTTTATAAACTCCTAAAAATTTAAAAACTTAAACTCCTAAAAATTTAATTTAAACACTTAAAATTTATAAACTCCTAAAAATATTTATTTATTTTTAAACACTTAAAATTTAATTTAAACACCTAAATTTTATAAACTCCTAAAAATTTAAAAACTTATTAAACTCCTAAAAATTTAATTTAAACACTAAAAATTTATAAACTCCTAAAAATATAAAAACTTAAACTCCTAAAATAATTAAACTCATTCATCACAAATTAATAATTAATAATTATTATAAACTAAATAATTAAACCTAACATTTAACTCAAATACAGAAAATATATATAACCCAAATTCAACAATTTTAACCCAATGCAAATTCATGAAATTCAGAAAATATATATAACCTAAAAATTAATCAAATTCAGAAAATATACTAATTTCAAAAAAAAAATTCAAGACAGTCATTTTATCTTGTAACTCCTTCAATCTTCTTGTCCCTTTTTGCAATCTATACTTCTATCAATATTTTCCTTCTCTATTCAAAGAAAAATTAAAAAAAATTATACTCAAATAACACATCAAAAGCTGTTAACAAAGTATAAATAACATTGAATTGAAATTACCTTACAACCAATGTATGAAGATTGTAGGAATTTAAGTGTGGAGAAGAAAAAATTTTGGAGAAGAAAATGGATATGGAGGAATAGGGAAGGTTGAAGAAGAAGTATAACAAAGTGAAACGCTACTGTGTGTTGTAGAGCGTTTTGATAAATCAGATAAAGCAAGTAGCGACGTGAAAATCACGCCGCAACGTTGCCACGTAATTTTCACGTCGCAACAATCATACAACTGTTTTCTCTTCCTTCAAAACCTGAACACGCCAGTGTTGAAAGTTGTGATTAATTTAATTTTTATGATATTTTAATTAGCGACGTGAATCCCACGTCGCAACTTTTTTTAACACAAAAAAAAACTGACACACTTAATACTTCTTTATTATATTATTAAAACACGTTGTCATGTGATTTTCACGTCGCAACTGACTTTATTTAGCCACATGAAAATCACGTGGCAAATTCACGTGGTTGGGTAAACATTTTCTTGTAATGAATTTGTTTTAACATATTAACATATTAAGGATTATTGTTGAAACAAAACTAATTGAGATTCCTTATAAATTACTTATGTCAATTTAAACCCATAAAATATATCAAAAGCAAAAAAAAAAAAATTTATTTAAAGATGCTCTTAAAGAGTGTCATTTATTACCATTGGAGTTTCAAACAATTTTTGAATAGTGATCTTCTTTATCCTATCTATCACATCTAAAAAAAAATAATTAAAGATATTTTCTTTAAAATTTGCATTTTGAATTCTTTATAAATTTAAAAAAGATTTTTCGATAGTACAAAAATTGATTTAACATGTACTAGTATGTTTAGTTCACATGATACTAGTCTGAGTAGATAAAAGAAACATAACCTACTAGCACCTAAAATGACAGTCGAAATCAAAATCCGATCAGTTTTGCTAAATAGGGTTTGTACAGACACAAACAGTTGCAGGCTTTCTCTCAGCCGTCTTTACTATTTATAATTAAATGCCCTTCACCTTTATTACCATTAATACCCTAACCTCACCATTCACGAAACTTGTGCCTTCCATCCCCTCAATTTTCTTTTACTCAAATAATTTTTTAATTTTAAAAATTTTAAAAATTTCAAAAAATAACATTTTTCTAAATCTAAACCGTTAATCTTAATCCAACGGTCAAACGTCTCCTATTCCAAATGCCCATTTACTACCGTGAATTTTGGTATTATAACTGTTGTTTACATTTTTACTTTTCAGTTGTTGCATATTTGTAAAATTCAAGCTTTATTATTTGCACGAATACAAGAATAGTAAAAAAGTAAGAGCAAGTTGATAAAAAAAAGGGTTGAAGGTGTTAGTTAATTATCCCTTGTCAGAGATGGTATTTACTACCTCTGCCACAGTATTCATATAAGTAAAGTATTGTATTGATTCACACTCACATCACACCTAACCAACCTCATTTGCCGCTTCTTCTTTCTCACTTACCATTACTATTCTCACTTGTGCCTCTGCCTCTGCCTCTGCCTCTGCCTCTGCCTCTCTACTCTACTGCTGTTACTACTGTCTCTATCTCTGCCAACTCTTCAATGGCCATTCCCATGCTTCGTTCTTCTTCTTCTTCCTCTTCCATCCCTTCACTCCCTCCACCTTCTCCTAAGTCTCCTCCTGAATATCCAGATTTGTATGGCAAACGCCGTGAAATGGCCAAGGTTCAGATGCTTGAAAGAGAGATAAGTTTCTTAGAGGTTTGTTTTTGTTTTCTCTTATTATGTATCAATGTTTCTCAATGGTTTGGATATGACGTTTTTGTCATGATCAATGCAATACTAAATTTGAGTATGGAAATGTACTACTCCTCCTACTACTACTACAGAGTTGATTTGGGCTTTCATTTCAACTGCAACAAATTTGTACTACTTCGCTTTTGTGCTAATTTTTTATTCTGAGACAATGTTTTCAAACTTCAAAATTTAAATTAAACTATTTTTAGAATCAGAAAGTGAAGATGCTCTTTTGAAATTTGCAGAGAATCTTTTTGTCTGTGACTCATTGTCCAATTTGAAGGACATAGCTGGTTTTTTTTTATCTATATGGAGTTATATGTATTATTAGAGAATTAATTATTTATTAATTAATTAACAACCTTGTACCTTGGTCTTATTGAAACTTGGTTTAATAGTTTTTTTATGTACTCAAAATTTGGTGTTAAAACCAAATTTACTGTTAATTTTTTTAATTTACCAGGAAGAATTGAAATCTGTTGAAGGTCTTCAACCAGCTTCAAGATGCTGCAAAGAGTATGTTTATTTGTGGAGTTTGATACCTTTAAATGTTTAAATTATTCATAGTGAGTGGATTTTGGGTTTTTTTATTAATTGAATGCAAAAAAAATATATATATATTTCAGGGTTGCTGATTATGTGGTGGTGAATTCAGATCCTCTGTTACCTTCGTAAGAACTGTTCTCATCAATGAATCATCTTTTGTTAGTTTAGAAGAGATCATGATTCTTATGCCTTTCTCTTTCAAGCAGAAACAAGAAGAATCGCCGGTCTTGTCGCTTCTGGAAATGGCTCTGGTATGAATTTCTTTACCTCACAATTTATTGGCTTATACTAAGAAACTGTTCAGTAGTAATTCAATTGCAAAAGTATGTAGTATGTTTTCCACACATGCACTTATTTTATTGAATTGGAACATTTTGTGAAGTTTGCTTTTAGCTTAGTTACGAGGAATGTCAAACTACTATACCTAATTTCAAAGGTTATGGAAATTTTATTGTCTTTTTTGTGTGCATCATGTAGTTGAATTTAAGGCTCAACTACGTGATGCACGCGGTAGAACAATGATTGATATGTTAGTCAAGTATCATTTATGGAAAGAACAATTAGTACTCACAATTCCACAGATAACATGAGGAACTAACTTTTATGTGCAGTCGCATGCCATGTTTTAATCTATCTTGGATCTGCTGTTGCTGCTGCTGCTGCGACGGATTATCTGTACATTTAAAATTGCCGCGCTGCTGTAGTGACTGTAAACCATGCAGCTGTTGCAGTTGCAGCAACTGTTTTCCATCCTTCAGTTGCTCTTTACCTAAGTGGAACTGCTGCTGTTGTTTCTCTTGTCCCAAATCAAATTGCTGTAAAGATAGCTTTGTTTCGGGTAATTGTTGTACTTTCCCAAGTAGTTGCAATTTCGGGTGTCTTTCGTGCCCTTCTTTATGCAGCTGCAAATGCACCTGCACTTGCTCTTGCCCAACATGTCCAAAATGTCCAAAAGTAAGACCATGTTGCTGTTGTAGTACAGACTCATGTTTTAATCCTTCTTGTTGTTTCTGTTGCTAGCTAGTATATTTCCATTCTTTCCAAAGGAGAAAAAAGTGTGAAGAAGCTCTTGTCTTCAAAATTGCATTTATATTATATTAACTAGAGTATAATTTTTGGAAAAATAAATGTTTATAACTATGCAGTATATGGATAGTGGAAGATACTTGATGCAAATGTAATAGCTCCTTTTGTAAGTTCTAATTGTGGTTATGATATGTTCCATTCCATACTTTGTGTTAACATTTTAAATTTCAACGAGTTTATACAGAAATAGAAGGTAAACGGACAATATCCAGTGTTGATATTTTAGTGAAGAATCAATATTACTATTAGTGTTTGATATGATAGACTTTGAGATTGTTAAAAGGTGTTGTTGGGGGGAGTGTTTGGCAGATGGTGAGTTCTGCAAGTTTCTTAAAATCATGATAAGAATAGTGTTTTTATCTGCTGAAAAAGAAAAGAAAAAAGTGTGTTCTTTTTTGTCTTATTAATTATTTCCACCTCCAAGTTTTCAATTTTCAATCCAAGTGGTCCTACATGAAAGTTGATGATATATGAAATGATCAAATGGGGTGCACGGCAGGAAAATAAGTGAGGGGTGTGAGCTGCCTTTTTTTCTGCATAACTGACAGACGCAGAGCGCAGAGAGCACAGGACACGGGAAATGACTTTACATTCGGTACACCGATTAGTGGTGTGATTCACTGATTCAGCACCAAAAACGTTTGGAGTAAGGCACTTGAAAATAACCAGTAATTAGTAATAGTAATTCAAAGGAAGTGTTATGTTAGGTTTGAATGACTCTGCGGTAGAAGTTGCTAATAGTGTACTAGTGTCTTCTTTCTTTTCTTTCGTTCTCATTAACTGCATGCTTGTACCAAACACAAGGAAAAGAGAGAAATTATTCACACATGGGGATGAGGGTTCTCAGTATTCAAAAACAAAAACTGTCTCGTGATCATGTTTCCGTATATTCTGAAATTGACCCATCTACTCAACCCATTTACGTGCATCTCTGCCTTTCTTGCTCTCATCTTAGCTGAATTTCAGACTAATCCAAACAAAAAATAGATACATTTTTAAACTAATTATCACTGATAATCACTCTTAAAAGTTTTGATAGAAAAAAAGATAAATACAACTTTTTATGTTTAAAGTGATAAGGTTTGACTATTTGATTTTGTTTTATTTTATTATCAATAAAAATATTCTATTTTGCTTACACGAAGAACTAGTATGGATAAAGTATTTAAATTTTACTGGATAAATTTATAATAAAAATAGAATTTATGAAATGGATAATGGTTGATTATGTTTTTGCAATTAGTATATAATTATTTTTCATAAATAAGTAAATGATTATGTTTTAAATAAAAACTGATTATGATATTCTTAATAAGTTCATAATTATTTTTTTAAGCTCACAAAAAAAGTTAACCATGATTAATGTATTAATTTATGATCTTAGACTAAAATTTTATATGTAGGAATTTATAAAGCTGGATCATTTTTACTACATATTCTCAATTATTTTTGGTATAACAAAAGAGTTTCACCATCGCATCAGAAGTTCATGATTGCAATTCATATATAATTTTAGTTTGGATTTAAATCAATGGTGTTGTCTATGAAAATCAAATTTTGATTCTTGCGAATTTCCACGATTAGATCTTGTCGAATGTGAAAGCCAACTCACGTAACATAGCGTTAACATAGGAGAGGATAATATATGTGAGAATTCCTCTAAATCTTTTCATTCGGCACCACTTTCAATTTCTGGTGTTGACAAGGCCAAGAGGATATCACCATGTAAAGAAGAACATCCCCAACCGATTTTTCTTTGACCGATATTAGTAGAACAAGAAACGAGGAGACCACAAAATTAAGTCAAACATTTTTGTTTCGTTCTGAAACCAATAATGGCGTGAGGCTCGAGAGTGTTGGAGGATCTAAGCTTCTTGCACGGTGGAGAAGGGGCTTCCCTGTAAGGTTAATACTTTAATGCTCAATTCAGTATGTGAGGAAGAAGAATGGATGGAAATTGAGTTTTAAACTTGTCACCTGAATTTGGCGGCTTTTATATATATATATATATATATATATATATATATATATATATATATATATATATATATATATATATATATATATATATATATATATATATATATATATATATATATATATATATATATATATATATATATATATATATATATATTAGAGAATAAATGAAAAACTCGCTATTTGTAAAAAGTGAATTACAAATAGTCGTTGGATGTGAATACAATTGAGATCCTTTGTGATCATCAGGAGCAGAGTCATGGTGTACTTCAATTTTTTGGAAGGATTTCAATTCCTTCGAAGCGGTTGGCCAGGGTCGCTATGGTCGACTCAAAATAGTTGTGCCCCAAGCTCATGTCTATGTAGAGAAAAGTAAGGATTTGCTGCTTTAGCCTCGACCACTGACCGCTCTTGTCTTTATGTTTGAAATATTAAAAAGAAACACTTCAATTTCCTGGAGATTCGAGCCTTTATTGCTCTATATTTGAAACGTCTTTTTGGAAGTACCATCATTATGATTCTTAGAAACTGAAACACTCAAGTATTGTGTAAGAGTGACATGACTCGTTTGGTAGAGTCTACTCTCTTTTGCATGCTAGAGTATAGTTCTTGAAGAGTCAACGTTGTTTTTAGTTGAGTCGTTTTCCCAATTTAGCGGTTATCTTCCTTTTTGACATTTTGCTTTCCTGCATCTGAAAATCTAGTGTGTAATGAGTAAAAAATCATAGAAGGGTGCTCATAAATCCTAGAAGAATGTACAATCTATTTACTCTTCCACCATTTTTGTTTTTGCAAGAGAAGTCAGTCTTGATGGAGCCTTTCTTACATTTGGTCCATCTTTGCATTGGGGTGTTTTGGCTCCGAACGAAAATGAAAGGATATGCAGCGAGTATGACGATTGCGCCATCCTTTTTTATGAATTATCTTTCTTAGCTTTGGTTCTTTGCCTACCTTTCACTAATTTCGAGACAAAGTTTTTTAATCATCTGGTAATGACTCTTTCACAACTTCATCCAGCAAGTTAGGCATAAATGAACTTCTACCAGTATTGGTGAGAATACTTGAAGGGAAAGCCTTCTCTGACTATTTTTTATTTCATCTCTTTAGATTTCATCGTAGTCCGGGGCCTCAGACACGAAATTGGGGATTAATCTCTCTAGAGATGACCATCAGGGGCTTTGGAACTCTTCCCGAGTTACTGCCTTTCGAAGACCAATTCTTTTAGGTTACCCCCATCCACCCTGAAGTACACGTTATGGTTTGTGTTCTTGGAGACGGAGTGAAGGGTAGATGTACTCAGATATTCCCCAAATAATGGACTGAGATTAATTTCCTTATGGGGAATAAGGTGTATGTATATAAATAGAAGGAGCTCACTGTAGAAGACTTATACCAAAATGTTAGTTCCATGTTTTAATGGTTGGATAAATTTTGGCTAAGCATGGTTCTAAACATGGTTCTATATTGATGTTGAGTAAAATGGTGCATCATCTTTATCAACTGTCATAACAGTTTTGTTGTTATGAGTTTTCTGCCAAATGTCACAAAAGATGTTGTGACATCCTAAGTCTGAGGCAGCAGGCGCTGCTTTTGGATATCCTTGAAGATTTAATTTGAAGATATGAGTATCTGGGATATTTTTTACTCAATATAGGCACAGGCCAATCAAGAATTGTGTTAGAAACAAGTGAATATTTGATTGGTTACTAAAAAAGATCGGTTGAGACTTTTTAGGAAACTTTTTATGAAGATTGTTTCTATTTTTGTGGAGAATATTTTGGAGAGATTTTTCAGCTGAAGATTGGAGTTGATTGAAGAATCTAAGTCAGTCCAACCCCAACTGCAGAAGCCTATATAAGGATTCGTTCAAGACCTAGTTTTTAAGCATAGTTTTTATTGTAAAACCATGTGATAAATAAGGGTTTAGGGTTTGATAGTCCTTATGTTCTCCGTGTGTTTTTTATTTTACATCCTCATGTATCTTTGATACATTTGAGTTGATTGATTGTTACTTGCTTGTCAAGTTATTATTCTCACTCAAATCCCGTTGGCACGAGTTGAGTATTATTCTTAGTGAAGCTTTTAAGCAAACTAAGTAGTTGTAATTTGAAAGTGTGTTCTTCCTGGAAGTTCTCGGGGTTGGGATTGTATTTCCATGTGATTGGGAGTTTGATATTACTATGGTGATTGGAAGTGAGTGGATTCTTATATCTATGAGGTGCCTAGGTAGAAGTTGCACTCGATAGGGATTAAGTGATAAGTTGTAAACATGGAGTTTAGCTTAGAATTAATACTGTTGATAATGGATTTCTTTCCTGACTTGGTAGCCCTCAGATTAGGTGAATTTGCACCGACTGTGTTAACAATTCCCTATGTTCTTTACGTTTATGTACTTTGTCTTCTTGCATCTTCTTTGTGTTTCTTTGCAAGTTTGTTTGCTGTCAACATATGTCGTAACATCTGTTGTAATATTGTGTGTTATTGAGACATTTGTCTTGACTTCTGTTATTGTGCGTGCCAGAATTCAATTGGCATCAAGAGTACGCACCCTATTCTGCTTACTGAGTGAGATTCAGGCATATATATATTTTGGCAATATGGGGAAAGAAAGAGGATACAACAACAAACCACTCATGTTGGATGGTTCAAACTGTGATTGGTGGAAAGTTAGAATGATAGCTTTTCTGAAAGTTATGGACCACAAGGCTTGGAAGGATGTTTTGAAAGGATGGAAGCATCATGTAGTCAAGGATATTGACAAAGATGGGAAAGATACTGGAACTGAAATCATGAAACCTGAAGAAGAGTGGGATGAAGATGATGATAAAGAAGTTATTGGAAATTCTAAGGCTTTGAACTCTCTATTCAATGGAGTTGATAAGAATGTGTTCAGGCTGATCAATACATGTAATATAACCAAGGAAGGTTGAGAAATTCTCAAGACAACTTATGAA